TAAGCTTTTTAGCAAACAGACAATAAGTACTACAGTACTGTCAATAATAATTGTATCTAAAACCTTCGAGATTCTCGATCAAAGCAAAACGCGAAGTAGAAATGGCATTGAAAAACAAGCATTTTAAGAGACCCTAGAGGTTTTCTGACACTCTTTAGACGATAAAAGGCAGAACTATGATGGAAAATGTTAAAACTGCCCAATCAGTGCCTATAGAATGTGTTACAAACCGACCAAGTTCGAGGGTGAAAACAATCTTCTTGTCAACACAATAGCGGAATCTGTATGATAGTTTTGAACAATCAGGGTTTTCTAAAGCCTGGTTCCCACTTGGTCGTTTGGGTCGTTTGAGTCGTCAGAGTCGTTCCTGAAAGACACGAACGACCCAAAGAACACATTGGTTTCCACTTGGTCGTTTGAGTCTTTTGAGTCGTTTGTTGTTGATGCTGTTCATTGCTTGCATCATGCATCGCTCATTTAATTTTGGCGGCATGCGTGGAAGGAACGATGGTAGCATTTGATAAACAACAACTGATGTTGCAAAGTCAACTATTTCTACCTCTGGTGACTTTGTACAGATGACGATGTTAGATCACTAAATTTCAGTGCAATAGCTTGCCATGATTTGATATTTTTGTATTTTTGAACTTTTCCATAAAGCTTGCTGTGAAATATTCAGCTATCTTGTTCTTGTTCTAGTCAAACACGCGGTTAAAAGATAAACCCCTACTCTTGAAGAAAAAGTTATTAAAGCGTGGGTCGTTTGAGTCGTTTGTCGGTTTCCACTTGCAAAAATCATTCATGCGTGGGTATTTTGGGGCGCGGAGATAGAATTTTTTCTATCTCTGCGACAACTGTCGTTTGAGTATTTCGGGTCTTTTGGGTTGTTGGCAGGTATGTTTCCACTGAGTCTTTTCAGTCGTTTGGGTATTTTCCAACGACCCAAACGAACCAAACGACCAAGTGGGAACCGGGCTTAATAAACACTGTTCCATGGCAAAGTCATTTACTTGGGGTTTTGTTTTAATCTACCAATACCAAGATGAAATAAGGTCTTATTTTATCTTTGAAATAACGAGAGGACTTCTCTCATGAGGGTAATCTCTGCCCGAATTTCTAATTGGGACATTTAAATCCATAACTGCAGTGGCCTATTCCAGCAACCAATGGCTATATAAGTTTTTCAAACAATTTCGATCATGATTCTGACGTTGACGACTGTTGGGTATATCTTATAATGTTTCTAGTTGTTTCTTTATTAATTATTATGTAGTTTAAAACCTTTTCCTTTGTTAATTATTTGGCTGCTTTGAATTTGTGGCATGAAGATTGATTGCAGCATCAATCAGATTTTTAACGCGTTTGAAGTCTGGGACCAAGTGACTGTTGAGCAGGTACGATACTGACAAACGATGATACGGCCGATCTCATATTAATCTCTAATTTGCATCTTAACTATTTGGCAAATGATGATCCATCACAAACAGCAAGCCTTTATTCGAAAGTTGCAATTTCTTAACTATTTTGAATTTAAATTAGTTATATTGTCTAATCAAAATGCGGATAAAAAAATGACCTGGCTGTGTCTTCATCTCCGGGGATTATACTGCAGATTTTCGATGAGAAGATTAATCGGATATGCGGAAGCAGACCATCAAAAGGCATTGTTCAGGTCAAAAAAGTATTCCAATCTATAGAAGAGTGTTTATGATTTCTAAGCTTTATAAAGTCTACGAAATACCAGACAAGATGACCCATTTATTTGCAACATATGGAGCATAGAGTGGATCATCAAGGAGGACCTTACTTAGCGGTCATTAGCAAGGTTGATGTGCTAGATGAGCTCGGAGGGGGGAGGGGTGATGCATCCCATCTTCTATTGGCAAGAGTACCCAACATAACTTCTTTATACACTGATACACTGACATAGTTGGCTAGACCCCATTGCTTTTGCATTACTCACTTTGTTATCAAGAGATTGTTTTAAAATATCTTGGGGAAGTTTGCCATAATTAATTCAAAGACGTTTGGAAAAATAAAACTCTTAATAATTTGACGTCACATCGATGACATAAAGGCCTCTGACAAAGAGTCAATTTTCGCCAAAATCTGAAATCCATAGAATTTTCAGAGGAAAAGTAACTCTTGAGTTCCACAGTAACCAAACCCTAGAGCCAAGCTAAAAGCCCCCCTTCTCCATTTTCTTCGCTCGCATCAAAGACAATTCAAACTGTGTAAACGAATGAACCTTCTTGTTCATCCCAGCTAGCTTAGTGGAATACAAGGAAGAAAATATATATCAAAAAAGCAGCTTGAGCGAAAACCTAGTAGCCATTTTCTGAACATAAGTCAGTTACTCTAGAGAGAAACTGAGGTATGCTTGAAGAACAGTGATGCCTTTTGTAAATTGTAAAATCCATCTTCTAAGTGATTCTCAATTATCTATAAACAAACTGTATTAAATCGAAGGTTCAATTCTGAAAAGTATCATTCTTTTCAGTCCTAAAGATTGCAATCTTTGAATGTAGTATCTTCGATGTAAGATTTGGATAAGCTTTGCTGATCCTCTCTTCTTTCCAAAATATTAGCCATAGATTGTCTTATCGAAAAATATTTGTTTTCAAAAGTTTGTTTTAGGTTCTTTAGCAGGTTCTTAGTTTTTTCCTTGATTTGGTGCCGGTTGTTTTCTGGTGATTGTCACTTCTCTTCAGATTAGGTTTTATCACAGAGAAAAATGATTTCTTTTGTTGCCATTGTCCAAATGAAACAATGATGCAAGCCAACTTTGCATGATTCCTCAAAATAGCCAAATCTGATAAATTATTGTTCGCGAACATGTGCATGGCTCATGAAATAATGGCTTCTGCTGCTCAAGCAACGACACAGTTCCCAACTCCACATGTTCCAAACGGAAGGAAAATATCTTTTTGAATTTATACTTGAACCGGTTTCAAATCACCGCTGCTCCAAGCAATTATTGTATAACTTTGACAAGCTTTACACGATTTTATCTTTCCCTTGGTATTTCACATAAGTAGAAGCAACAGAGGATTCAACGACCACGCAACTGCGACGGGTTGTTTTAATTGCCAAATGGACAAACATGACTTGTTCACTGTAAAGATTACTGGTTTATGATTGACATGGGGCCGAAAACTTGCTTGCTTGGATGAAAAACATATTTAAGGTGAATGACTCATTAGAAATTAAATACATTGCTTTCATGATTTAGTAGCTATAATCCTACGATGAACGTCATTTCGGATCCAGTCTTCTATCAAATAGAATGGAACAATACCCTACTTGTTTGAATGGCACTAACACGTAATTGATATATAAATTCAGAAGAAGATAATGCTATAATCTATTTTGTTTTTACAATATAACTTAGGAAGTGGAATCAGGGTCGACTACCAAAATGATTAACAGTATCGATATTCTATAACAGTATGACAGGTCGCAAATTTTTACAAAACACAAAGATATCATAGAGTTGATCTGCAGGAACATTGTGAGGGATGCAATTACAAAATTTTTGTATTTGTGTATTAAAAACTTGGATAGATGCTCTTCTTGGAAATATTGAATGCTAGAATGTCTACCTATCATAATTCTGTACCCACATTTGCGTGCTGTTCATAGTTTTTTAATCCTACGATCGACGTCATTTTGGGTCTAGTCTTTTATAAAAAAGAATGGAACTAAGCTGCAAAACGAAAGCCATGTCACCACTTACGAGATTGGAAGAACACGGTGGTTCCAAGATGTTTATTTCCACGCATATAAAATCATTGTTGGTATCTGGTCTAACGTCAGATAAAATATCATTTGGCAATCGGGTAAAGTGGTATTATTTTTGCAGCTTTCTATGCTGGCTTATATTCGTTTGTGACTGATTAACTTACTGCTAAACAATAGTTGCGATTTCTATAGTCTTGATATCCAAACCATTAGCGCCCTGACGCTGTTCTTGTCATCGAAGTTACCGATAACTGTCTGGTGAATAGAGGAATCTTGATATAATACCAAATTTTATCTTGCCTTGGAAGCGGGGTTGCAAGTGAAAAACACTGGTGTCGTTGACCTTTCTCGTATCACATTTTCTTGTTATCTAATTTTTTTCGCAAAATCGAATTTCGCTGCCCAATTCCTTTTTTGCTTTTCACAATTACATTTGCCTGGAATTATTAAATTGAATAGAAAGAGAGGATTATACTTGATGCAAACAACTTGCGAGATTTTTTTGTAAACAAAACAGCCAGACTAAATGGAAAAATTGTTTTGATAGCGTGTATCAACGCTTGTGATAGGACAATATTGATGCAGTGTATGCAATATCAAGGTATGGAAATATGTTTGGCATTCGTACTAAATTGAAGCATTAATTGGCCTGGCTTGATTGAAAAGCTGCTTTCAAAAAAGCAGTATCGCGCAGTATCCCATGATGCTGCCGATTTATAATCCCATTTATTCAGACATGCTTCAAATAACAGTTTCAAAAAAGCCTGGCGACTTTTGTCCGCATATTAACAAAACTACTGAACTATGATAAATTGGTTTTAAAACTTATACCGTATTTGTCTGTAGTGTTGCAGAACAAACCATTTGAAGTGTTTTAACTAGGTATATTATACCCAGTGCACAGGTTGTGATCAATAACATTATTTCTATCAAGGTAGCATCTTCTGTAATACAACTGCATGTGAATGACCACGAGGGTATCATTCTACGCGGCAGAAACTCGTCGCGTTTGCTCGGTCTTAAGCGGTGAGCTATTGCAATGAAAGTGTCACACACAGGTTTACTTCAGCAATCGCTATAAAAAACAGTTTTCAGTGACATGTGAAAGCGCTTTTTGCAGCGCCTCTGCATTAACAGAGTAATGTGATACTGGTTAATTATTTTTGCGTCGACAAAACATCATAAAATACGAAAAGCTGGTAGCAGTCAGTGCGGCGATTTATTCAAGATCCAATGCAAAATGCTGTATCATTACTTACCAATCAGCGTATGGACAAGCCATAGCTTCAACACATTGGTAACTTTAGACTTCCTTCGATTTATGTCTAGCTAAACTTATCGTCGTATCTGGGTTGAAATAACAACGTAACCATTACTGTATTCTCAACACCAATGTTTAGCAGACAACGACGGATTCGAAAAACGGCCGGATTCCAAAACCATTTCATTGAAGGCTGCCCATCGGGGGGGTTACGCTGCATAAAGTAAACAAATTTTTAATCTGACGGAATCGCACAGCCGCAAAAGCGCTGATAAGAAGCCTCGCAGGTGCGCAGAAGAGAATCTAAGGCAACGCTTTTGCTATCATTGCAGTGTACAAGAAGATTCAAATCTGTATATGACGATAGAAATTGTAATCAACATTTCCCTTCTCTATAAAATATGATTCTGATTAAATGAGTCTGTATTCAGATCTACTCTTGTTATCATCGATTATCACTCATTAGACATCGCTAGCTTTCTATTGACAGTTAGAACAATGGGTTTGCAAAGAAAAAGAGATGAATGGCTGGAGAAATTTGTATGCCATCAGCCTTCAAATCCCTTTGCTGTTTTGAACGAAAAGCAGCCGCGTAGCTTCTGTAATGATCTGAAAAGTCTATTGTCTAACTTTTTGGCTAAGCACCAGTTTGCGACTGTAATCGGCTATAATCAACGAGCGAAGTTCCTAAAGCCTGTAGAGCGGTATTAGATATTTTAATTCTCGAAGTTTAAGGCCAATTTCTACAGTCTTGTATCCTAAAAATGAAAACTTAAATTATTGAAACTTATTCTACAACAACTTTAGCACCTAGGACGTGAATAAACACTCTTGCAGGTGAAAAAAGAAGAGTCGTTGGGAATTGTGCGAAGAGAGAGTATATGACATGAAGATGGCCAACACATAGTCTTATATTTCCAGACATTCTGGTTGGTTCAATTCCAGCACAGGCTTGTTTCAGTTTAATGAAACTGTTGTGTCTCCAGTTTTTGACATTTACCAGTACCAAATAGAATTTTATTTTTGTTTAGAATCCAAACCAAAACGCATAGCAAATCCTGATGGATTCGCTCTCGCGTGGGTGGAGATATGAGAGAGCTGAAACCTAGTTACTTAGTCACGTGTTAATAGAGAACGGGAAGGAAACACGAGAGAAAGTGATAACTGAGATGTTTAACGAAGCAGTGATTAATAAAAGTTTTGTAAGAGTTAAATAGTCAAGTAGAAGAGGGTTGATGGGATAGAAAACTGTACACAGCGTGTGTCATTAGTTTATATTGCTGGATTCAGATCGCTTCGTCACACGTGGAAAGAACGCACAATGGCCTTGGAAACAAGCACTTAGAACAAAACTTCTATTACTCCTGATAAAAATCTATAAAAGATAAACGTCCACTGCATGCGTCAATTTGTAGCGAAGATGTTCTGAACGCAAACTGCAGACTCAATCAAGTTACAGTGGACAATTCTTGGAGGCTTCTAAAAAGCTTCTCAGGAAATAAGCTTGATTAATAAACCGTCTAAGTACAAGAGAAATATAGAATAGGAACGAGGCTGAATAGCCAAGAGGAAATCTTATTAACCTTGTAGCGCACTTTACTGACACTATGAAACAGTTAATGCATGGACTGCAAATAATAACCCTTTGAGATCAAAGAAACCTTAACTGTCTCTTGGTTTTTTATTTCCGACTTAAAGTTTATCCTGTTCCTACCACCTTTCAAAGACTTAATTTCATACAAACCCGGATGGGAGAAGAGGTTGCCATTATTTCATATAACGTTAATTGGTGCAATCACGATGATCATAAAATCCAAAGCGATCGTAAAAAGAGCAATTCGATCAAAGTTAACTAATGTTATATTGCTTCGGCTTGCAACCAGTAAACAGCTGATGAAATCGAATAAAAGGTGTGGGGGAGGGCATAGGACACACGCCAATCCAATACGCCTTTGCTTTGGTGGGAGTTGTTGCTAGGGAAAGGGTGACGGTAGAAGTTGTGACAGCGTATGCATTTAAAAAGTTGAGAATTTAATAGAAAAAAGAGGAAAGCAAATATTACCAGCAGTAGCAAAACCAAGGCACAGAATATTTCGATTAAAGGCAGAGAACAAGAAGGCCTTAGAAAAGCAAAAATACTGAAGGATACTGAATTTTTTATTTAACACTATCTAGAGTTTAAAACGTCTGAATACTGAACGTGAACTCTAAGCTTAGAAATATATAAAGCCAGTTCTGGTTGAAATAGGCAGGCAGCACTGATTGGACAACCTTTATAGTCATGTGCTTGCGCCTCTGGCCTATTTCGATCCATAATAGGGTACATAGTTTCACTACATGAAAAGTGCCTTAGCAAAACCTTAGAATAGTAAAAAATGTTGCTTTTTCCAAAGAAACTTTTAAATTTTGTCACGCCACAAAATCCGTTGACAGTACGTTAGAAAAAGTCTCCTCTGAATCTTGCAGAGCAGCTCTATTCTCACTCTACTTCCTGCAGTTTACACGAGAATGCATACAGTGTTTCCAGAAAGAGAATCCAGAGATGTTTAGTTTGTTATCATAGATTGAAGTGATATTTGTCCCTTAATCTTGAAAGAAAATAGAATTTTGAAATAGAAAAACCGAATCAGTAACTATAGCTCTGTTTGACCATCGTATATCTTGAAGAGAGCTTCTGTCTGAATCAGAGTCTTGAATAAATGGGTTTTATATACAAACTAAGCAAACCTGACCCAAAACAGTAAGTACATATATTGATGGTTTCAAACTGTCTAATAAAAAGTGACGTCAAAGTCTTTAAAAGTGCTGCTGAGTGACGCAGATACGTGGAAGATTTACCGCTGCAGACAACTTTTCATTTGGACAACATCATTTGGGCTTAATTTTTTGTCGCCTGTGTATTATTGTCACAGTGAAACTATGTGCAAATATAACAGTTTTGCGAAACAAATGTAAGCTTTGTAAGATAAGGTAAGAACGTAAGATTTGATAGGGCCAACTGGGTTTTTTCGTTTTCTCTACTTTTTGAGTATCAAAAGTCCAATTACACCTTTCATCAATCGCTTCTCTTTGAAACATTTATAGAGGTTTGATTCACCTAAGGAGTGGTTTTGCCAGTACATATAAATGGGCTTCAATCATTAAATATTTAATGATTTCCAGTAGCAAATAATTCAAGACCTGAATAGCCACTAAAAAGTGCCTTTCAGACAATGAAAAGAAAAACAACGTCTCATCAATGGCATTGTTGTTTTTTCCGAAACGCTCCAAACTAAAGAGGCCAAAGGCGGCTTGATTACTTGTATACTTGCTATTTGGCTCTGTTGCTAGTTTATGGCTCTGCAGTATTTGATTTATTTAGCTCTTTTCGTCATATAAACATGTATCTATGTCTTATATTGTATAATCAAAGCCCAGTTTAGAATCTGAAAAATTGCTATTAGATACCTACATTGGTAAGTTTTTGATATTTCTAACAATGTCAGCTACTTTGTTTCTCTTAGTTCCACATAACGTTTTCTTTTACAGTTTTTCCAATCCTTAAATTGTATAAACATTCTTTCTTTGCTAAAAGTCTTTGCACAAAACTTTCCGTAGAACTTTGACAGTTGGGTAAATAGATTTAAAATGTCAGGCTTTTTCCAGTATAAGCCCTTCAGGGGCTATAAGCCTAAAACCCCATCAAGACAAAGATGCTCAAATGGAGAAAAATACACAGGTTCTAAAGTTCTCCTTCCAGTCACGTTTTTACTCAAGTTTCCTACGTTGCAGGAACAGCTACTATTCAGGCTGAGTTGTTGCTTCATTTTATTTGCATTTTGAAACAGTGATGCCAGTACAGAGACCTGTGTTGACGTTTCTATTGCAAAATATCAAAATTAAGAAAGTTTCTCTAGGTGACAATGAAAGCTCCCTTGCCTTCTCTGTCCAAAAGGCATGTAGAATGAATAACCAAAACCATAAAGTTTATGTCTACTACGTACACAAAGGTGAATTAGACAGATTGGATAAAAGAAAACAAACATCATCAAACGATAAACTTACCTAGTCCTTGACACTACTCGCACTTCTTTCTTTATGATTCCACTTCTCGTGTCAAGTTTCTGTTGGCATGAAAACAAAACTTTGTCATTAGACAACGATGATAATGATTGTAAATAACATTGCATTGTTTTGAATTCAATTAGACCTGGTTGTTTTACTGAATGCCTTGTCCGGATATCCCATTCACTTAATCACAGTGTGTAGAATTTATTGCTGTGAATTAGAAGTCTTCCAAGTACAATAATGTATGAGCCTCCGACAATTGAATAAGCATAAATTTAATTTCTATTGTTTACAATAGTATACAGACCTTATGAAATTATATTTAAGCTTCTTTAATTGTTTACAACATTGTAAAAGGGAAAGTAACAAAGCCATGTTTTGCGATGTTTGTTTTCAAGTAAAATACTTTGTTCGCAGCTAGCTGACATGACTACAGAGAACCTAGATTTTTATTATCATAATATAGACATAAAAGCGAAAATAATTGCACTGAATTTAAGCAACTGCCAAAAATGCTAAGGAATGACAAATTTAACTAAACTATATCTAACGATTCAACACGTCCCCAATTTACCTTTGATAAAGCATATGACGAGTCTCAGATTGCAGAAGATGCAACTTTTTCTTTTCACAAATACTCATAATTACTTACAGTAGTTACCTTATGTAAAGGAAGAAAAACAAGCCCATCTTATCTTTTTTATATTTTCATCATCCCTACTAATCATATTGGTCATACTCTAATTATAATCGGTAGTTATGTTGTGCTGCAGTAGATGAAGAACTATTTCGGTCTATACATCAAATATTAAAGAGTAAATAATTACTTCAAATGATAGGCCCTGTATAAAACTCTTTTTTGCTATTTTTTATTTTTACATCTTTCAATTTTGATTTGCTTCAACGAAATGTAAACAAACCATATTTATATCAAGCTAGATGCGCAGAACCTTGCGAAAATTGAATGAAGGAGAGGATTGAATCAAATCGGGGAAGATTGAAAATTCAAATGCCCTTTTTTGCACCCACGCAGTTTTCTGTAGACAACACACCTAGGAATCAGCCAGTACCAGGTCCCTTAATTCTTACTTTGGCTTATATGGGGGCAAAAAACAGAATTTAGTGTGTTGACACAGGGATCGAAGACATTGAAAGATAAACTGGTCTTTTCCCCAGTGTTTTCAGATCATGCGTTATCAATGCATGCAAAAATTTAAACTTTGTTCAGAAAACTCGGAAAAGGAAACAATTTGTCTTTGTTCTAGATGAGTAGCATTTAGAGATTGCTCTTTTTAAGCAACTAGTTTTGCCAAGTCAAACATAGGTCCTGCCTTCGCAGCTTCTGCTACGCAGCTTCTGCTACGCAGCTAAATGAGAGTTTTTGGAGTTAAAAGTTCAGATTTCGGTACATCAACGGTACACGTTATAATCAGTTATCAATAATTTCTACGTGGTTTTAAATAGTTATATTATATCTACCATTAGCGTGTGTTCTTCTTGTCATGTGTCAAATCGTTATAAATTCAGTCAAATACAGGTTGTTTTCGAATAAAGTCATTTTTTGTTACCGCTAATCATTTTATGTCGTTCAAAGTTCAAATGGAAGAGAAGATTTGTGGACATCGAGCGTAGTAGCAGTTCTAGTCTAAATCTTTAAAAAATTTTTATAGACACAAGTTATTCAATGCTATACGAAAAATTGACTTTTTGTCTCCATTCTTTTTTTTGGTAATAAATTTAATAAATTAGGAGACTAGGGTCCTTGATTAGAAAACTTGTTATCAAGTACTTTGATTTGAGTCCATAGCCTTTCGAACAGAGATAAGCTGAGGGGCATATAATTGTTTCTATAAAGATCAGGACAAAAACCTATCTTTTAATTAAAGGGAAAGTCACTGGGGTGGGACTGGAGGGACAATTGCCCCCTAGTTAATTTGTAAAAAGGGTCCTGTTTGTGTTGAGTTAGAGTGGCGGGCCTTCTATTGCACCGCTTCCTCATCAGGTAAAGATCTTGCAACATTTTGCGAGAAAGAAGAAACCTCTACTCGCTACGCAAACAGAGCAAATGTTTACAGTTGATTCTAAAGCAAAGGGGCATTCTAATCTTGATAGCAAAACACAATATAAACTTATCAACAGATTTGTGGATTGAAATTGTTTTCTTCGATACAATGAGTTGTCAATTGCCTCGTTAAGTAAGACACTCGTTCTCCTGCGCTGTTTCAGTAAGAGTACAATTCAGTTCAATTTGCAAAGAAAATCTCTATGAAAACAACGATTGGCACCTAATGAATCAGAAATAATTGGAACCATATAATAGCAAAATAAAACGCATTGCTGGAGATAACTTTAGAATTCTAAGACAAACCATACCCTGAAATATGTTCACATATGAAAGTCAGCTGTTTGGCAAACAACCCATGCAAATAGAAAATTTTAAATAAATGAAAATTAGAAAATTGTAGAAAATTGGATGTAGTAAACTCATAAACCAAAAAAATATTTCTTGGAAATTTTTTATCTTGGAAGCTTGGAAGCTAGAATGCTTTCATGCAGTTTCTCAACGCTTTTTAGTAGATTCTGAAACTTGCAAATTCTTTCAGCAAATGTATGAATTTTTTCCTCAATTTACAGCGAGTCTAGTGATTGCTTTTAAGTATTGAAAATCAGCATCAAAACAAAGAATGCAAAATTAACAAAGTATAAAGCATCAAGTTATGTTGCCTGCGTTTAATTTGAATAACGATAAAAGAACAAAGTCCCTTAAAAGACATATTTGAAACTTGTAGTTTATATCATGAATGCATATTCTTTGCTTTTTAATTTTTAGATAGCATAGATTTTATGTATTTAGCTGTATTGTTGGATAAACAGGCAACGAAAGATGTCTTTTCACAGCTCCCTGGTTTCCAAACTTTCATCTGAAGTCGCCTCTTGTCTTATCAGATGAAGTCAGGTTTAATCCTTAGAATTCTAAATGAAGCCTTTACTTATAATATCATGCTTTATCATAAGTATTTCAAATGATTTCATAAAGAGACTAGAGACTAAAGGCAAAATGTGACATTTATGTCACATCAGGAAATTGCTAATGTTGATACAGCTTTCCTTGATCCTAATTGTATGCATCTTGTTTCGCTGGAATTCTAAAGTACTGCTGTCGAACAGCAAGTTTTCTTTCAAACAATGTTTTCCTATAAGCTTGAAATGGGTCTTTACAGGGATGCTGTTTTTATCAAGAGAAAAATAAATTGAGCCAGTCTTGTCCGTACGGATGACTGAATTTTAAACCACAACGAAGCCACCGAAGTGAAAATATTTTGGCCGTTGCTTCGTTCATTGCGTTCCCTATTTGATTTATAACCAAAGCTTACAAAACTGCCATTATAACACATTTGAACATTTCGTTTAACTTTCGTGAATTTCAAGTGAACTATTTCGAATATTCGTTGATCGACATCGGCCGATTATCAGAAGTATGTACGAGAAAATTCGTTCTTGTTGTTAGTGCTAACGGATTCTTGAGGAGCAAAGCTCCAATCACAAGAATTTGAGCTTTCTCAAGATCAAAGAGAACCATACCTTCATACCTATCACTCCTGGGAAATCCAGTCCACTTTGGCAACTTCTTACAGTCCACCACATCGCACGTTTGAGACGGACCAAGTGATTATAGGCAACCCCCCTTGACTTCCAGTTAGAAAGATAATAGTCGTCACGAATGAGTTGTCGATATCAAGGTCAATTGTAACAATGTTATGAAGTTCTTTATGCAGTTGCAATAAGCTATGAAATAGCATTAACTACAATAGGATGCGGTCACCCAACATCTCCCGCGCAATGTACTCGTTCGCAATATTCATGGCTCCTAAGCGAATCTGTTTACATTGGCAACGATTACATGGTTCAAAAACTGTCTACAAAGCTAGATACATAGCAAACGGCACTAACTAAGGCCGTTCAGACGCTCCAAAGTTTGGGACAATGGCATCCTGGGTAGAGAGGAATTTTCTATTCCACCGCAGCTTAAATGATTTCTCTTTATAAAATAACCTATTGCTGATGGCATTCTCTCGATCCCTAGGATGCAAATACTTAATTATATCGCATTGGACTTTACTGGGCACCCTGAAGAGTGTATGAATGTAGTTCCTCTTGTGTGGATTTAGAATGTAGGATTTAGAAGCTGAATCATGTTGCCCCTCTTTCCAATAATCGAAAAAATTTGGAGATGGCATGGAAATGCGGAAACATAGCACACAAAAATATTTTTGCCCGACACTCCTCGATAATATAAATGCTCGATTATGACCAAAGGCATAGTCTATACCAAAGGTAAGCAGAGAATTTATAACCAGATGCGGAAAAGTGGTTTTCTCTCTTAGGTGTCTATCCAAGTGTTCACTCTTCCCTTGGAACACTGATTGGCCAATTAGCGGTCACTGATTGGTCAAATACAAGAAACCAATCAAACGCACCATCTTCGTTGCTTTCAATCTGCATGTGGACACAACATTTTGCTTATCTTCGGACGTTATTCTACGTTTAAACTCCGTTTAAACTTTTGTGTTGCCAAATGTTTGTAATGTGCAAATTACCAAAAAGATAATAAATCTTAAATTAAGTAACTGCAATGTTTGGGAAATTTTCAAAAAAATGAAGTCAAATTGTCTTAAACAGCATGCATATCAGAGATGATCTTACATAAAAACTGTCTTAAAAGTGAGGTAGCATTTCACATTTTTTAATTCCTATCTTCTTTTTTAAAAAAATGGCAACCTTGAAGCAATCTAGCAACAGAGGCAGCCAAACTTTGGTTGAGGGTTTATATTTTTTGACATGCCAGGACCTTTCATAAGATTCAAAACTTAATTGTAACAATCCACAATTAAAAAATTACGGTTATGCTGGTCTGTCACGAAGTTCTCGAGGCCATTTAGGTAGAGCACTGTAGGATTTGGGGTATAGAGCAGAACAGTTTCAAATTGTGGCAACTTTGAGCCATCCTATGCTACACACCAAAGCAAATGATAATTGTGCTGTTATTCATAACGTCGTTTATTTCTTAGCTAGAAACTTGGATCGCAAGAAAACAGCCACTATAACCATATGTTGCTAATCTAACCAAGCTAAATAACGATTTATGATTGCTGGTACTAATCTGAATGTTCGTGTTAGTCAACAGTGTTAATTTTGTACACTGCACCGTACTCGAGTATCAAAACAATAACCTCACATTCACTAATTAGCGTTGCAATTTTATGAAGTCGAGATAGGCAAAACCTTTATATATAAAACAGTGGATAATAGCAATGGAATGTACAGAGATTTCTACAGAAAATAGGCAGCATAAACATTTAAAAATGACATCGTCACTGCACGCTACATGTACTGCGACTGTAATTGTGTATGCAATGCAACTGCAATGATCTGCTCAATCCATGATGTATGATTAGATTTGAAGAAAATCTTATTTAAATCACGTGGTGAGGATTAGTCATCGGATTTGCATTCTAAGTCATAGGAATAAAATTGAAATTCTTTTTTGCAAAAAACAACTTGCACTGCTAGGTCATACCAGTATTTTCAACCAGAAACAATCTACTCTCCCATATCTTCGTGAAAGATAATTTCCTATATATCGTTAAGCGGATCAAATGCTTGGCATCTTGAAAGCTTTTTAAGTGAATATCTCAGTCTTGTTTCTGCAGTTTCCTTGAAGCAAAATCCGAATCACGGAACAAACAAGTCTTTGATTTTGCAACTTGAAAGGTAATTCTATTCAGAGAAGAGAGAACAAAGAAGCTGCTTTGATTGGAACAACAGCTTTGCATCTTGGCACCAGCTCCACAAACACCTTAAGCACGGTTCTCTACCGGGAAGTTTCTTAGAAATCAGAGTCCTATAATATACCGGTTGACTGCTATTTAGAGCAGCAGAAAGAAAGAAATAGCACTCAACTTGCAAGCTTTTCAAATTCTAAGTGAAACTTCTGCAAAAGCTTTACGTAACAGCCTAAAAGAGTCTCTGACAAAGGAAATTTGTTTGGCATTTTATGCTCTTTTACTGGCAACTGGAATGATTTTGGCCATAGCATAGATAAATTTATTTGCATAAAAATGAACAATGATATCAAATGCAGGCAATGATTGGAATTTTTTTAAATTTGCCAGACATTTGCCAAGTCGGGTCATTTCTCAGCCCCTTTGATTGCAAACTTTTTTGAAAAGCTCCTCCTTAAATTCATTATTGTATGCACAAATCTTTTCCCTGTGAAGTCTCCTTTCTTTGCAAAGTTAATTAAAAGTATTCCTAATTCTGTTTAGTGCAATTTGTTTTGTTATTGATTAAAATGTGCAAAAATGTAAAGAATGAAGTGAGTTAAACTGAAATAAGTACCAAGTTTAAGATGATGTATCTCTCAAGTTTTCTTGCATTGCAAAATGTGTTGCAGTGCAATACACAGTACAGGGATTTTATGTCTGTTGAAAATTGGCCTATTTGTATTGAAATGTACAGAAACTGTGGGATCTGAGTTATCTTTCCTGCAAGCCTGAAAATGAATAACTTTTCCACCTTGCGGAAGTCTTCACTAAAACATGTATTGAGTTGACACAAGGTTTCCCCAGTAAAATCCAACTTTGCACTTCTTTAAAGTAACGAAAGTTTCTAGAATAGAGTTGTCAAGTGATGACGTCACAAAAATCTATTTTTAAAAATTTTTGAAATTTTTACTCGTAACCTGAAGAGCATCACGAAATACCTCTGAATCTGCAAAATCAGTTAAAGGTATTACGAATTGGCCAAGAAATGACCAGTTGAGCACAAGCACTGGCCCCATCAAACCTCTGTAATTTGGTCTCAGTTCATAACTTGATGAACTGAGCCAAAGTAACAGTACTCCGTTAGCAAACTTCAAATCTTCTATTTGCCATAGCTCACTCGATTTTTGACACATTAAACTGATTTTGCATACACGGGACTATTTTATGACGTTCTTTCATGTTATGTGGTCAAAATTCGAAAATTCTAAAAATAGTTTCTGTGACGTCACATTTGAGAACTCTATAATTTCTTTAAAGCATGCTTTGTTATTGAAAATGTCCTGTTTGATTCTATCTTGTATACATCGAAAGATTTTAGCAAATTTTTTTTAAAGAATTTAATTATTCTTCGTTACAGCAATTTTACCATTCAATAGTAGCTTATAAATCATCAGATAAGTAGAATTAAAGTAAATGATAGCTTACGTAAAAGGAAAGCAACGAAAATGAAAGTTTAATGAAATCTTGGTAAATTTAATATCAAGAACAGTTTACGAAGATTTTGTAGCAAGGAAAAAGATTTCAAGTCTTAGAAATTTTCTCTCGTGAATAAATCACTGGATAATGCAAGAGATTGAAGAAATGTTGACTAAAGAGTCGACTAAAGATGTTTGTATTAACACTGTGAAATTTTTTTATGCAGAGCAAGATGAAATTTGAATACAAGTTAACATGTTGCAATTGTGTTTGATTATACAACAGAAGGTCAATAGAAAGACACACGTTAAGTAGAACAAGTCTAACATGACCCATGTTGATTATAGGGTGAGAACAGACAAGCCAAATTAAGGAAATACAAGAAAAGAAGGCAAAATATTTCAATTTCTTAAAACGTTTGGGAATTTTTAATCTAGGGGTGCAGCCACCAGCCCCTGCCATCCGTTCCTGCCCGTATTTTCTCTGTAGCTACGCTCAACGCCGAAGTAAACTGGAGATGTTGTCAAAAAATGTCTGGAATCCTGGAAATATTTTCTGTGCCTTCACATTTGTTATCCATCAACAAAAAAATCAAATGAAATAACAATACCTCGTGTCGCCTATAATCATTTATATGCATACTTTATGTATATAACATCCAATAAAAATCGAAATTTACCGCTGCAAGAAAACGAGGCAATTTGAAAAGACTTCCTTTTCAACAGCAACCACAACCACATAGCCACGAGAACCATTTTAAATACTTTTCCTGGCTATCGTGGCCTTTGCTGCGTGGTTCGATGGTACTAAGGTCATTGTTTTATAGTTTCTCAATTCAGATACAGAAAGAAATTCTGAAGGTTTGAAAATTCGTTTTTACTTTATTGCAAGGGTGCCACTGATCTAGTCAAACAATTTATCAAGATACTATTCCAGTTATACTTCAATACATACAAGGTTAAGATATTTAAAATAATTTTTTGTATCTATGAAGTTATAGCTGAATGACACATGGAATTAACCCATAGGGGCTTTCGAGCCATGTGCCATCTTACGTGAATTTTGCCTGAAGTAATTATAAATCAATACACAATATTAATAAACAACAATAACATTTTTTTAAACTTTGAACAAAAATTTTGAAAAATAAAAAAGTTGGTTTCGAATATGATAGTTGAAACGTTACTCTAATCTATTTGTTTGTGGGAAAGGGGGGAAAAATTAAAAAGGGGATAAAAAAGGTGGTGGAATGCTTTTAAACTTTGTTAGAGTGCTTGTTTTTCTTTGTGTGCCAATAATATAGTATATGTAGTGGAAGGGGGTACTAGTATATTGAAATCATAAATTTGTTTAAGGCTTTAGCAAAAGTTGTTTTTGATCCTGATTGTCTGATGTCTTGTGGAATGGAGTTCCAAACATCTACACCAACATTTTTTATGAAATTTTTACCAAATTCTGTTCTAAAACTTGGTTTAATAAAATTTCCTGAGCTAGCATATCTTGTTTTGTAATTATGAGTATTTTTGGCTTTTTTGAAGAGTTTACTGATAGAAGTTTTGGCTATACTTTTGTTAATATCATACATAAATTTAGCACACTCAAGTTTGTAACTGGCCAAGAAAGAACTGGCCAAGTAGAGCCTGAAATGTGGCAATTTTTGCAAATAAAGGAGTAAAGGTGCTACTGCATTAATCTGATAAGGTTTCTCCAAAATCAACATAATAATCCTCAGGCTAGGTTTCAGACTATGTGACTGATGCCTGTGCATAAATTAGATTCGGTTTTTAGTAGATTTTTGGATACTTCAGCTAATTGCTTTCTGCAGACTTGAATCCATGCGAGCGGCATGGATTGAAGGTCCTGTACTTCAAAAAACCTTCAATTGACTGAAAATGTATAAACAATGAAATGGATTATCATATACACTCTTAATGATGACAAAGTAAGAGCAAATAATGGCGTGAAAGTATAAGGAAATTAAGTTTGCAGAAACTTTTTTTAGATTTCACGTTTCTGTGTGAATCCATGAGCATCTTTTTGCGAAATACCATATATAGGTTAATCAAAAAAAATGGACTACAGCTTGTTTTGAGCTCCACATAACAAGGATTTCAATTTATAAAATTTCCTTTAATCCAAAAGAATTTTTAAAGGACTTGTGTAGCAAATACGGCTAAGTATGCACATACTTAACATATGCTAAATATCTCAAATCCTTGAATTTTCTGCAATTGAAAGGACTTCTGACTCAAATATATAAAATTGCAAAACATCCAGACCTATCATCAGTGAAACGAACTATTCTTGGACGAAAATAATTTAGGCTAAAAATCCCTTAACCAGCTTTAAGCCAACTATTACAATTTTCACCCTCACTCCTTAAAGAAACTATGTCCTACCAGTCAACCATTCAGAGTTTGCAATAGTTTCTGCAGTGTACATAACAATAGGTCTATGGTACAGTCTAACCAATTGCCAACGAATGGGTCAGTGCATACAAAATCATGTTCATGTTCATCAGTTTAACAACAAAATTTTCTATTATTCAGAAATTCCAAGAAACTTTCAATTTCTGGACAGGTATGCTTGAAATTGCTAAAACCTGACATACGGTTTCTTTTCTTGTTTTTAGATGAAGCCTAGCCTTAAATTAGAGGACTGTCATAAAATCTGGAGAAATGCAGATGCTGTCTGTTTGGATGTTGATAGCACAGTAATTACTGGAGAGGGTCTGGATGACTTAGCAAAGTTCTGTGGCTGTGGGGAGGAAGTTGCTAAGTGGTAAATTTTTTTTATTCAAATATTGGTCTTACTTTTGTGTCGGCTCTCTTTCAATTTCGAAGATTTTGTTTTTCATATTTTTCTTGTAATATTAGTAATTTTGGCATATATATATTTTTCCAATTATAATTTTTAGATGATGGCTTCAAGGAACATTAACTTCTGAAAAATAGACCACTCTCCTTTAAATTTTTAGCAGTTTCACCTTTTTGATAAAGATTTTTGTTACTAAAAAATTTAATAATTATGATAATTCTATGAATCTTTCAAAGGACAGCAAAGGCAATGGGAGAAGGAATTTCTTTCAGAGAAGCTCTTGAAGCAAGACTGAATTTGTTCAAACCAAATAGAAAAAAGGTGAAGTTTTTTAAAATTGATGATCACTTTTTCTCAGAAATCTTGTCCATTTGAAGGCACTTTGTCATGATGCATTTTGATGGCCATTTAAATTTCTAATTGGTTGGATTACACAAAAGACCTATTGTTACATATTCCATCGGCTAATTCTCAATATGTTTTCTTGATCATAAACACTCTGCAAAGCCTAATGTTAACTCTGAACAGTTGGCTGGGGGCCTTTTAAAAGTCATCTTGACAAAATATAAATTGTCCTGATAGATTTAACACTGTCCTAAAAAGGCATTCTTTTGGAAGTAAGTGAAAAGTACATTTTAAAGTTTCTCTTCCATTTTGATGGTTGTGTCTAGGGCATTCTATGGCTTACAGTTTTTTCACAGGTGGAAGAATTCATGAGGATGAACCCACCAACCCTTACAAGAAATGTCAAGTAAGTCCACATTCCAAATCCCAAATCCTATCCTGAAAATAATTCAATATACACAAATATTCACTATTTGCTGTTTAGAAATTCACCATTACCCTGTAATCCTAGGCTTGATGGTTGCCTTATAGACCAGATAACATTGCTTTTAGGTAAAAATTTCACGAAAACAACCCAGATGTAAAGTTTTCTTTCAAAAGGAATTTGAT